CATTCAGAAGGCAACCTGACTCGGAAAACGATCCCTAAGCAATAGAAAACTCATTAAATCTGAAACAAGCACATACGCTTCATCCAAAATTCCCAGTCAATGTTAAACGACCCTCTGTGAAACTGGAAAGCGAAAGAAATGATTAGGTCATTATCCGCTGACGATCAGTGAAAATCTTCTACTAACATATCGATAAAACCACCAACACTCTCTCCCTCCCATCTTTAAATCGGGGATTATGAGAAAGCATATCCCACAAAGTGTATGTTACCATATGCTAGAAAATAAAACGGCCGACTGATGGTAGGCGATTTCGCAATCACGTAGGATATATTTTCATATTCCAGGCAAACAATTTTACGGCAAAAATGTCTGTGGGCGTTAATTCGGCTTTTGGAGAGTAAAAAGCACGTATTTGGGTAAACCGAATTTTCAAAGATAAAAATGCCAATGGTTTTAAACAATATGCATTTAATCACAGACTTCATCATATGAGTTACATGACTTAGACAATTAATTGACAAGTATGGAAGGAGAATTTTGGCGTAACCTTTCCGTTTAAATCAATGCCTTCTGGTAGATAAATGACAGTTTGACCGTCCAAACCGACAATACCCACCGTGTGCTCCACAGCAAGGCGAAGCATACACGGTGATTTGCGCTTGAATTAGTTTCTAGTGAGAGTAGACTTGTGCAGCGTCAATCACACTCCCTCCACCTCCTCCTACTTGGATCCGGTGTCAAGACATAGTCAAGAAGGCCCGGGGCGGGAGAGGGTGCGGGTGGCTGACACGGCTGGACACGCACCTAGGCGTACCGTCATACTGCCTGGTCCAAAGCAAACATTTGACCAGGATTTTCACTAACAAGAACAACAGCGTCATAACGGCTCAAAAAGAGGACGAGGATGACTGGGCAGCCCCATGCTCGCGACCTGTGTATCCAGTGAGAGCGCATGGGCATCCACCGGCTGGGAATCAGATGCCGGAGAACTGTCAAAACACACTAGGCCACGAGGACCTAGCATAGCAGAGCCTAAAATTAATTAAACCCAGTAGAAAAATGCGCACTAATGTACAGACGGTGTATAGAGGGCAATCAATTGAATGAAAATTTTCCCGATAATAACATGGAGTTTATTTATGTGAAGTTTTAAATATTTTCTTGATAATAAAAACTAAACACGTAGTCTGCATGGATAAAAATTATTTCAAGGAGATATCAGGCAAGTATATTAAATGCTCAATAATTGAATTGTCTAAAAATAGTCATCTGAAATTTCATCATATTTAGTGATATACTTCGTATCCTACGTTATACACTGGACAAACAGCTCATAGTAGTTTATACTGTACTATTTAACGTATTATCACAGCAATATTGCGGAATTATAGCATGCTGGGGTGCTGTAATCGCACAATATTTTGCTGTGTGACAGTTTATAGGAAGTGGAGAGCTCAATCAATTAGGTACTATGAGCTTTCAGACGAGATGCACCGTTTAGTTCTCAAAACGGCGTCGAGCATTCTGCTGTATCATCTGTCATGAAGGCATGGCTAACACGATCTGTGAGATTAGTTGTTAGGCTGGAGGTCATTTTGTGGGGCGATTGAGTTCCGTAAGAACGATCGGTGAGCGTCCCTATACCATGGTATACTCCCGATCGCAGTCAGCAGGACAACGAGCCCGTGTCTCAGTGGTTAGGGGCCCTGGACTTCTAACCAACAGGCCGCGGGATCCAGCCCCAGGTGTTCCACACTTCGAGTTTAGGTATGATTGGCTGACGACGTCTAATAAACCTAAAATGGCCAATCCAATCTCTCTTTTCTTTGTCGGTAATAACATTCTGCAAATATACGTATATTACCCTGTTTATTTTTAAGTTGTTGGAATGCCGACATGTTTCTCCTCTTTTGCAACAATTTTCTCCCGCCGGCAGTCACTGGCCGCAGGCTTTTAAAAAGTTATTCATATCAATACCATCTCCCCAACGTGTTTGCGGACTCCGACGGCACCGCGCGTGTTAGACGCCGAAGATAACTCTCGCGCTACTGGCTTCGAGGGGGATCACTTGATACAGATCTCATGTTAACCCTTGCTCGCGGAATGGCCGATTCGAGGATTTTTTCGATGTTTTTTTAACGCAAACGCTAGAAGTGGCTATCGAAATAACCAAACACATCGTACTTTTGTTTTAACATCTCCGTTTCACTGAAACGCGGAACGAAATCCTCCAGTGGGACGAGGTTTTTAAATTTAAGAAACCTTTGCCCCGTCTAATACGACAGGGACACTTTTTTTCTGTTAAAAGCTGGAACTCGACTGTTTGCCTCCATTACAATGAATTGGTTTTGCCACTCATTTGCGCAAACTGTTGGCCCCAGCAGGGTGGCAAAGGTTTTCGCGTTTTTGAAGGGGAAGGAAGATTTCTGCAAGTTAGCGAGTTCAGCAGTCGGAAGCAATTAATTTTAGCCTGTGCTAAGTTTAAGCATCGGGTGGCTAGAGTGGAAGTTCATTGTGACAGGCGGAAACAGAACCGGAATTATACAAATTTGTTGTGTATTAACACAGTTTGGGCAGATTTTTGCTTAGTTAGGGTTAAGGCAAACGGAAGTAAAACCGCCCCACTTGGTTTAGTAACCGCTGTTAGCTCTTTCTGAGTAGGTTGGCTAGAAGCAGATTTAGATTAATTTTGAGCATGGGTTTCACGCTTTTAGCTTTTGTGAGATACTCTTTAAATAGTCCTGTTTGCATCGAGGCGAATACTGGTACGTAAAAATTTATCTTGAAAACCAAGCTGACATAAAATTTGTAGGAATCGATATTTCCGTGAACATATATTTTTCTTCTTTACGAGGGTTAGTTGCCTGTAAGATCCACTCACCGGTAATGAAAGGATATTTTTTTAGCAACCAGCGGAACAAAATAGTTCATAGGGAAGGCTCTTATACTCGCACATGCAGTCTGACCATCGCGATCGATGAAATCCACTGTTGCCGCATGGAGTAGGTGAAACATCGGCGACTTGCGCGTGAACAGTTTTTAGCGAGACAGACTTCCACTGTACCTACCGCGCCTTGTCTGTCCTCAGTCTCCATTTTTCGACAGTGAGACGAGGTCGAGACAACAGATCGGTCAGCACAAGCACAAGGGAGACGAGATCAAAGAGCCCGTCTACGCGTGCCATGCACGTGACCCGGTCCTCGTTCTGCACGCGCGGGGCCGCAATAATGGTGGCTTGCATCTCATGCGTAGGGCAGCGTTTTGCCATCATTTGGCGACTGTACAAATCATCAGATTTATTACTAGGAGATACGCCAATCTATAATGAGGAAGGACATGCTATGCATGATTGTTCGACTGCCGTGCTCAACGATATCCATAGTACGCTCCCCAGCAAGGCGAGAAAAAGGGGCACGATGGCTTCTGCGTGAATCGGTTTGTAACGATTGTAGACTTGCGCAGCATCTATCACACTTTCACCTCCTCCCCTGCCTGAACTCGGTGTTGAGACATAGTCAAGAGGACCGGAGGTGAGGAAGAGCGCGTCCGGACCTGCACCTGGGCGTACCACCACACTCCCTGGTCACAACAAAGACCATGCACGCGACCTGTAGGCCTAGCTGCAGCGCAAACGCTTTCGCCGACAGGGAAACAGGTTGCAGAGATCACACCACGCTGTGAGGACTATGGTCTGTAGAATCATGGCCTAACAGTGCACGCAATCCTCAAAGTCTAGAAGGGTGAGACGCAGTCCTGCATTTAGCCTTTGCCATCATTCTTCAAAGGCTGGTTAACCAGCCAGCCAGTGGCTATGAGGCATTACCCAATAATACGCACATGCCCCGCATGTATGAGAGTGTCAGGGGCAACGTTAAGAGGGAGGCGTTGCAAGCTGACTCTCAGCCCACCAGTCCGCTACTCCACACAAACACCCACAGCTGGGCAGACGGCGTGGACTGAGTTAAGGCGTCAGTCGGCAACCTGCCGAGCAACGGCGTTTGGCGAACCCGTGATAGTTTCAGGCTTAGATCACACATTAAGCAGAGGAGCCGAGAAACACACTTCCCACTTAAGTGAGAGGCGTCAAGTGAGTGTTTGCAGTGTGCGGTAATGGGTGAGGTTGTGCGGTGAAGGTGTTTGTGGGGAAGGGTGTGACGGTGTGGTGTAGCAGGTGGTTGTCTACCGCGGGTTTTCATGCATATGAATGTGTCTTAACAGCCCCATGCGGTGGCTGAATGTGCAACGGCATTACGAGAAATTGAGGCGAATTAGTTTGGTTTATGTTAGTTCTCCAAGCACTGGTTCGCCAGTCTCCATGCAATGGATTCGCATGTGACTGGCCAAGCCGATGCGAGAGGTTAATGTGCAAAGACAGCGTGTGCAGGTTAGGTCAGTGACGCCAGAGTCGGTTAAGGTGGTGATAGTTATGCTGCTGCTGGCAATGGGCGTGATGGGCGATGAGGTTTCCAATAAGCCAGGAGTGTTGGGTGCTAGGTGTGTCGATATCGCGGTTAATTTCGCCATCATGGATATATACGTGACCTAGGAGGCTTATGCGGTGAGTGACAGTGTGAACAGTGGAGGCAAATGCGGTTAGTGTAGGTTGGTGCTCCAGGCACCGATACGTCGGCCTCTGTGCAATGGATTCGCAAGTGAACGACTAGGCCGATGTTTCAGGTGAATGTGCGATCGCGATGAGGACAGGTATAGACCAGGCCCTCATCACTGGCGTTGACGGTGGTGGTGGTGTTTATTGGTGTGTCAGGATTGTGACTAAGTGCACGTCGCTGGAGATGGGGACGGTGACGGTGAATGTGTGGGTGGGTGGGTCGGGGCGTCTAGATCGTTTTGGTCGTTTGCGGTGGTGGTGGAGGTGGTTATTCTCAACGCCGTTGGAATAGCTGAGGCAAAAGTAGTGGAGGTAGTAGTGGTCAGCGACAGTGCGGCGCGGGGACTCAAAGCAGTATTGGTGGGCGCCAATGTGGTCGACGTGGAGGTTAAAGCGGGCGTGGTCGTGAAGGCAGTAATTGCTGTCGCAGGGCGGTCGATGCATTGGGTTCGTGGGTGACTGACGAGGCCGATTCAAACGAAACATGTTCGTTGACAGCGAGGGCACGTTGGGTGGGGTTGAGTGGCGACATTGCGGATCGGAGCGCCAGAGACTTGCAAGCAACCTTTTTAGTTTCGTCAACGGCGACCAAGGTGACTCCGTATGTCTCTGCACCAGTCTTCACGTTTCTGCTCCAGGCCGGTCTTTTCTTGGCGAGGTCCTCCAAGGCCTCTGAATTGATATAAAACCGCTCAAAAAAATTCTTCAATGTGTCTTTGGAGCGTCACTTTGGTCCTCCTATTCGGTGTACAACTGTGGCGACATCACCATAGAAGGTTTGTTACGGCAGACGAGTAGCTTCAATCCTCACGAGATGGCCACTCCAACGTAATTGCAGTTGTGTCAGCATCCCGTGGATGCTGACGACTCCGCTCCGTTCTAGGATGCCCGTGTCAGGGGATCCTGTCATGCCATCTCGACTTTAGTATTCTGTGAAGGCAGCTGAGATCGAAGTGATTGAGTTTCATGACATGTTTATACGGCTTGTAGTTTGCAAACACAGAATGCAAGGGTTTTTTAAAATACAATTATACACTTCTTTAAAGTTTAAACTGTGAAGAAGACCGAATTTGCGACCGAGTGAGTAAGAGAATGAATATTTTTATGCATGTTTTCTACGAAATATAGTTGAATTTTTTAGGGCATCGAACATCGGCGAGAAGAGTGCATGGTACTGTAGTAGTCATTTTACAGAACATAGGTTTTGCATGCAGCTGGAAAGAATTTGCTCGAAAGCTTTCATCTTGAGGCAACTGAATTATTTAAGAAGTATGCTGCAGGATAGTTAGTTTTACAACCCTATTACATCAATCTTTTCGAAATGAAGACGCATTTCGGAATTCCGGTGGACATTTCATGAGTTAGTCCACTCACTGTAGGCGTAGCCGGAGGCGAATAGGTCCATGTCCCGTTGCGTGTCCGCTTGTTGAATGCGGAGATCTTGAGAGCCGATCGTAGAGAGGTAAGTCGGAGTCCGCATTCATCGCTATTGAGGTGTCCGTCGATCTTGGGGTGTGGCTGCTATGCGGAACCTACCTTCGGGAAGTCACAGCTGAGAGTTAGATACCGGTTGATGCATGTTATGAATACACAAGTGCACGCATTTAGAGGATTCACCTTCCGCTGATTTGAATAGGCAGTTACTCGAAGCAACACGCGCAGTAGCTCGAAAATATACTTTGGCTGTCCCAAGTCAGCGATCCTACTAACAATTTACATATAAAAACGGATAATACGCTCACTTGACTTTGCACGCATGTATACCCGCAACTGTGGGCCGTCTTTTAGATTGGGCATTAATACCGTAGAACGAGCGTGGAGAATGATAACTATTTAGAGTTGCGAAAATTCCCATTGTAAAATTCAAAAGACAATTTGGCGAGCATACGTTTGCTTTCGATAAATTCTCTTCAGGCCCGTACATTTATATGGCCATTGAAGTAATGAATAAAAAGATAGGGGCAAGTAAATAATTAAGCTGTAGCTCGGGTTTGGAGAGGGGAGACGAGGGGAGGGGAAGGGGGGAGTTTTTAAATAAAATTCAAAAGCTCATTTTTAGAGCTTGTATGTGTGTATGCGTTCATGATGGTGTGATTGTGCTAAATGTTTAAAATGTAGTATCGAGGAATTTCTTTGGTCTACTCTTTAAGGTTGCTCGGAAAATACTGGCAGACTTTGTGGACAGCCGTATATTCTTGAATAATGAACACAGTATATGTTAAAGGTAGTCAGATTGTGATCCTCGATCATCTTTATATGTCTGCCATCGGCAAACAGACTCATTTATGCCTCGTCAATAAACATCCACCGATTTTGGTGCTAGTAAATCCAGCTTTCAGCTTAGTTCTGTCTTCAGAATTGTTGCTACTTAGAAGTTAAAACGTGGCATTCGGTGAGTGAAAGATTGGGCAAATACGGGAGGGTGTGACAAAGTCTCTTGCCCGCGTCGTTGACTTTGTACATTGTTCTCCTGGGCGCATACGGCCGTGCGGTGTCGTGAAGCAGAATCGTGTCGCGTCGATTCACTAGTGCAGGTCTAATTTTTCTCAAATGAACAAGCATTTATCGGGGTTCGTTTTCGTATACCTCTCGGTAGCATTAAGAAAGTTTCAATGGACAATACGAATAGCAGACCATAAGACTGTCACCATAGACTTTTGTTGATGCAATTTCAGCCCCGGGAGATGATTGGGGACTTCGTCACAATCATGCCATTTTCCCGATCTCATAATATTACCAAAAAGAATTCAGTTTTCGTCACGCCTCACTATTTGATCGAGAAATGGACCATCAGAGCCTTGTAGATAGAAAGCTCCGAACACACTTCGAAACGCTGAACTTCTTGCTTTTTATTTTGACCCAACTGTGGAAAACTCGGTGCCTCGGTGGGACTCAAATCCACGAGAACAAATGGGGGTTTTAGCACAGCCAACACTCTAACCATCTGAGCTACAAGGCCCCACCGGATGACGCGAGTTTAATCACATTTCGGTCAAGTTTACCCGCCCATCGGGGCCTCGTAGATCAGATGGTTAGAGCGTCGATTGTACTAAAGCTTCCCCTTGCTGTCGTGGGTTTGAGTCTCACCGAGGAACCGACTTTTTCACAAATGGGTCAAAGTGGATCATTTGAAATCTGCCATTACACCTATGAATTCCTTGATTTTCATTAAGTACGTGCGGCGCCCATTTAGCGAGCCTTGTCATCTGACCTCTTTTCATTACATGGCCGAACACCACTGAAATACTGACATCATGTGCCTCAGATATTTCGATGAGACTTTGACGTGTGTTTTTTAAATATTGCTTTCAAAAGTCCATAACAAAGAGTGCACGTCCGTCCTTTACCTTAGTCCTTTTTAAGGTTCACATTAACACTACGAAATTTCTGAAAACCCCTTCATACGGTTCGATCAGATGTGGACTCTTTTCCCTATGCGGTTGTTTGGAAAGCACTAAAACCAATTTTAAACTCATGCGAGAAAACTAGACGCACTTCTCCTTTTTTCATCTTCGCCAGTAAGAGCTTATGCTCTTCGAAATTGCACTCCGAAAAAAAGTTATAGGAAAATTATTGAAGAGTACACAAAAACTAAAAGCATATAAAATGCCGTGTAAAACATTGCAGAAGTGGCAACGGCTTTCAATTTCTTGAAACAAGTAGAAAAATTGGTCATTATTTTCCAAGTAAACTAATAACAACATGAAAGATGTGTAAAAATACGTGATGACCCTTGTACTGGTGCTCCGCTTACAATCGTAAAATGACAGTTGGTGTCTTTTTGTGAGTGAGCTAAACTCAGGGAGCTGTAGAAGCCCGCAGAGCGGTAATACTTACGACAGCACCTCGAAAACTCTCGTGTAAACCTGGAAAAAAGACTCTAAACAAACGCCCACCAAAGATTACGCGGGCGAATTTGGGATCTCCGTTTAATCGCCCCCCCCCCCACCCCTAACGCATAGATTACTGCAGGCTATGCAGCTAGGAGTCCCGTGTTTGAGAGAGGTGAGGAACAGCAGTGACTGTGTGAGACCAGACTCAATGGAACTTTGCACGCAGATTAGTTTTTTTTCTGGAAAGCGGACTTGTACAACATATTTGCCTCAATCACTTCTCCGCGCTACCAAGCCCCTTCGAGCGGGAAGATAGAGCTGCCAAGATGACAGATAGGCGTAGGTGTAGGGACTAGCGAGGCCAACCCCCCCCCCCCCCCACGCCTCCCGTGCACGCACAGATCCCTAACTTTACACGCCCTGTCCTTAATGGGGGGGGGGGAGAGGAGGTTGTCGGATGCCACACAAGTAACGGTGTCATAAAGACTCCGTTAACTTTGAACTATCGCACTCGTGTAGGCCGTTCTGAGTAGAATTGAGCACTTCCATCCGATTGCTGTGTGTACCAAATTAGGACTTTTGGCGCGTTTTGAAAGTGTTTTTGGTTGGTTACAGGGATAAAACTAAACTCCAGATGGGATCTGGGACGTCCTCACTCATATTAGCAGCAGATCCAACTGAGGTCGACGGAGGCGGTGGAGACTGACGCAGAACGCAAGTATCCACAAATCTAATCAGCCTGATCCATACTATGTTCAGCCAAACTCTTCATTAAAGAGAGCCACAAATAGGGGTGACATATTTAACCGGTCAAATAGCCCTCGTAACTGGCAGTTCTCGCATTAATCGTCGGTGGCTGTACTTGGCGGTACGATTCCTCGTTCACCTGCAAGCAAGGCATCTAAATTCCTGCTACCACGAATCCACGTTTGTGCGATCAAGCCTACGTGCGCCAGGGGAGTGCCCTCACCACAGGAACAGGGCGGCATGCGAGTCGGCAGGAATATTAGTCTGTTCGTCAGCTTTTTTTGGGGTACCTCAGTGTCTCACTGCAGTGTCAACACTGCATATGAATCCACAACTTAATGTCACGAATGAAGACGAAGGTTCGAGTTCCAGACGTACGTATTAATGAATAAGACGGCTGGTCGAGCATCAGAAGGGTCTGTTTATTGTTCTGGATTTTCGAACTCTTGCAGGAGTCAATCGTCAGAGATAGTAGCAATAAGAGAACAAGCAACAGTTATAGGGCGTGCTGACCAATCACCAATCGATGGCGCAAAACTGGAGGTCACGGTGCAGGGCAATGTATGCCAGCGCCAGATCGATAAATCGATTGAATTAATTCTCATCGGAGGCCCAGGCTTCAATCAATTCTCGGCCTGGTTTTTCCCGGCGTGAACGATTATTTTGGTGGCTATGAGGTCAAGCTCATGGCCCAGTTCGTAGGTGCAGGCAGCCACTTGTGATAACGCGTCGCCTCGTCGCACAGCCAGCTTATGTTCGTGTATGCGCGATACGAGCATGCGTCAAGACTGGCCTGTGTAGTTACGAGGGTAGGACAATTTGGCCGGGGAGGTGACACACCACTCCATATTGCTCTTCAGGCTTTGGGGCGGTGTGCAATTCCAGCACCTAGCTCTGCAGCAATGCGTTTGGTCGCTTCTGAAACATCCTTAATGTATGGCAGAGAACGCCATGTCGTTGGTGGTGTTGATGTCATGCGTGGGCGTTAGGGCGGGTGAGACGGATGTGACAGGTTTTCGCCAGACTCAGGACAGTAATTCTGCTGCTTCACTGAGATGGATTCGTAAAAGGCTCGATTCGCAAATGATGTTATTGCTATTGCTGTTTAGTAGGATCAATGTCTACGCATGGCGGTAGTTTGAGTTGAATTTGAAGTGATGAAGTGGGCCTAGCAGGGAGTTTCTGAGGAACATGGCACCGATGCAGTTGGTGTAAGTTGGTTCCGTGAATGGACAGGAGTTTCACTGAGCATTACATTGCATCCCCACCCCCAGAGCTCAACAAGTAGAAGGGGCGGTGTGATCCGCAATAGAAGCGATCAGAGGTTGTCGCGCGCTCTATCAGCGTCCATACAGCAGTGCCTCGGAAGTCGATGGTTGTTCTTTTGGACGTGGTGATGGGGCAGGTTTGCTGACACTGCAGTAAATTCAAGAGTTGACCTGAGCCCTCTTTGGGGAGATTCTTCCGTTAAGAACCTAGTCCAAGACATGCGTGCCGTCGTCTGGACTGTACCACCTGTGCTGGAATCCATTTGGAGGTAAAACAGCTCGACTGTCGCATCCGACGATGTCCACCGTGTGCTCAACGGCAAGGTTAAGCAGGCCCGATGAACTGTGCATGAGTTAATTTAAGTGGAATGTAGACTTGCACAGCATCTATCACGCTCTCTCCATTCCACCTGGGCCCGGTGTCAGACGTATTCAAGAAGAGTGGAGGCGGAGAGGGGAGCAGGCGGATGGTGCGGCCGAACCCGCACCTTGGCGCTTCACTCCACATCTCCTAGCCCATACAGCAAATGCTCAGGTTTGAGGTGATTGAGGTGATTGCCTCCAGTTTTACGACAGACCACAATGACTCCCGATCCTACACAGGAGTCTTTTAGAATTTCTGGCCAATTTTG